CCTAAAAACAATTGTAAAAGACGAAGCTATTTAAGAAATAAGTAGGCTGTTGCTCTTCTCAAAAAAGGCAGCCATAAATGCACATGTGAGGCTTAATTTGCATGTCCGCCATGTTTAAAGTGTAGTAGAAGAATATGCCTAACTGCCAAATACTTCTAGACTTTAAAATTCCTAACAGCATTATTAACAGAACTATCAATACGTTACTAATATAAATATTTCCACCGGCCTCTCCACATCTAGCTTCATCCATAGAGAGAGCATTATTTACTAATATCATCTTTTATCCTACTCGGAATTCTTCCAAAGCTGTACTGACATGAAATTGGTATTTCTACATCGGTAATTATCATTGTCATCATAGCTATTTTTCTAATATAATTCTCCGTCCGTCCAGACAAAGATGGGTTTTCCAATGTATGATCTCCAGTGTCCGGCCACTATTTTTTTCTAACAAATACGGAGTACTACGTATCTTCTGTACTATTAGATTTTGTAATTATATACGTCGTAGTATATTGTTTTATATATATCGAACACATAGAGCCCGTTTGGTAGCACGAAAATCGGCTGTTGTGGCAGATTCTGCTGAAATTTATGAAGTTCTGGCTGAAGTGGTTGCATTGTTTGTTTTGGCTGATTCTGCTGAAAATTATTTTTAAAATATATTTTATTAATAAAATAAAGAAAAATTTATATGTTAAAATAGCTAAAATAGTCATCTACAGTAACTTCAGCCAATACAGCCAGAAAAGTAATTCCAGCCTTACTTTTTCTTCTTATAACACAATTCAGCACGCGAAAACAAAAGTTACGTGTTTGGCGAAAAAGTTGGCTGATAAGCCTGATAAGCCAAAAAACAGCGTTGCCAAACGGCCTCATAATATACTATCATTTTTCATAGATCGGAAAGAAGAATGTAATATGATACGAGTAGCTATTATAAGAAATATGATCTCTATATATACATGCTTGGTCTTGAGATGTTTCCAACTTTTGGTTTGGCGAAGGATGTAATTAATTCTCTACAATCTTATAAGAGTGAATGTTGTTAAGGGTATAATGGTCATATGAAATGTGTTGGTGTCTCTTGAATTCTTGATGCATAAACGTAACGTACATAATGCTCCATTTGTTGCACTTTTCTAACTTTGTTCTCAATGGCGGCTCTTATCCTTGGTTAGTATAACACTCTTTATTCTTCCATTTGCTAACGGAGTAACGGATTCCTGACCTCTTCATCTACTCTGTTCAAGTTTTTGTTTCTTTTCTTATTTAATTTATTTTCTCATAACACCCGTATGTTATTACGGAGTATCATACAAGTATATCGAAGATTCAAAGCCATGAATATATACTTCTATATTCTTGGATCGATCACTTGCTAACTAAGCTAGCTTAGGTAGATTCCACATTCAAGTTGAAAAGTAGCAGCATTATAGGCACAAAGAACTCATTTAAATTCATTACAATCTAGCGCTATAACTTGGAAGCCAGTATCTTCTATAAAACGCATAGAACTTTGTTTTTCTTGCTCTCTTTTTTTCCTATTTAATTCTAAAATAACATGCACATATGTTCAGGCTAATGAACCTGACAAAAACTTTAATTGTAACTATGCTTTATTTACTTGTTTTACATATAGTTTTGGTTGATGGGGAATTCAATTCCATGTCCATATATGAGTGAAACCAATTTATAGGGTTTAAGAGCTGAATTTGATAGTTATTTCAAATACGTTGGTTGTTAACAAATCTTTTTAGAGATCATTTGATAACTTTGTTTGAGGCTTATCAGCCAACTTTTTAACCAAACACGTAATTTTTTATTTCACGTGCTGAATTGTGAAATAATAACAAAAAGTAAGGTTGAAGTTACTTTTCTGGTTGTATTGGCTGAAATTACATGACCATTTTAGCCATTTTTTCATATAATTTTTTCTTTATTTTATTAATAAAATATATTTAAAATATTTTTTTCATAAATTAGCATAGTTAGCCAATATAGCTACTTCAGCCAAAACTTCATAAATTTCAGCAGAATCAGCCGAACAAGCCGATTTCAATGTTATCAAACGGGCTCTTAAATTCCTGCAAAAAACTAATCTCTCTAAATTTGAAGGGAAATATCATGCAATTGCTCATATGCATTCCACTTTTGTGACTATGAGCTGTATAGCCTGTATTGCTACATACACTAAAAAGGCAACTTACCAACTGATCAGCAATGCAAAAAAGAAACCATTTGATTACTTTTAACATTTTCATCTAATATTACTATGATTCAAACTCTATCCCATGAACTATTTGTTGTCTCAATACTCTAAACTCAATAAATACGACTCCCTCCGTCCCACTAACAATGGAACAAGAGGGAGTGACACGCAAATCAATAAAAAGTGGTTTATGTGGTTGATATTGAATTAATAAAGTAAGAATAATTTAGAGCCACACAAACTTTACCAAATTTAGTATAAGACAATCTTAGTGGGACGGACCAAAAAAGTAAAATGAAACAATATTAGTAGGACGGAGGGAGTACTTCGTATAGTTTTTTGCACACATTGCATACATCTATTATTCTCTTGTAATTTTTTACAATCTTCTTACCTGCCCTATTTTTTGCTTAGGCTTGTAATCATTCACATATGAGTTGGAGATAAGATGTTAAAAATCAAAGAATATGCTTGGGCATTTTGTGCAACGCGCATCGCGCGTTAAAAAACTAGTACTTCGAAATGAAGATGATCAAATTAAAGGATTGGAATGTATTGATAAGAATAAGGAGGTGCTTATTATGCAATTCTCATTTTCAGTATGATTCATGTTGTTCATATATACTATGATTAAGAGGATCTAAATGGTGCACTTTAAATACGATCGACTGGTAATAATTTGTGTATCAAATCAGTCATGCTACCTTATAGATTTTATTTTCCTATACAAAGTTACAAACTAAATATGTTATTTATGTTAAATAAGGCTGCATGGTGATGATTTGTGTAATACAAAATGAGAATTAAAAAGTGCCGATGAACTAAAGTACCGATGAACTAAAGTACCCTGTACCCAAGGGATAAAGCTTTTCCTTTTTTACATGGGAAAGGAAATTCAACCTAATAAAATTTGCAACGACTATGAGCCCGTTTGGAGACCTCTTTTTTCGGCTTATCAGGCTTATCAGCCAGCTTTTTCACCAAACACGTAACTTTTACTTTTGTGTGCTGAATTGTGTAATAAGCAGAAAAAGTAAGGTTGGAGTTACTTTTCTGGATGTATTGGCTGAAGTTACTGTAGAGGACTATTTTAGCTATTTTTACATGTAATTTTTTCTATAATTTATTGATAAAATATATTTCTAAAATATTTTTTTCTTGAATCAGCACAATCAGCCAAAACAGCCACTTCAGCCAGAATTTCATAAATTTCAGCAGAATCAGCCAAAACAGCCGATTTTCGTGCTACCAAACGGGCTCTATATGTTCTGAATTTTGTGTTTTGAGCTGTCTTTTGGATTAAAAAAAACCCATTTTGGTTGGATCTTGAACAACTCATTGAAACTGTAATATTTTTTAGATTTACGAAATAGAGTTTAAATTCGATATATGAATCAAAACTAACTTTAATTTTATTTAAAATTAATTTGGAGTTGTATATTTTTTTGTCATATTTTATTTATACAAATTGAACAGAAAAAATACTTGGTTAATTTCTCTAAATAGGTGGAGGACCGAATACAGTAATAATCTTTTAATTTACTTTCAATGTAACAATGTTTTATGTAACGATGTTTTTTTTCTCACCACATGGATGATATGTGGGTGTTTGGTAAGGCATTTCAACCGAAAAATGGCGGTTTGCACTTTCAGCATTTTCAATAAGTGAAAAAGCTGTTTAGTAAAAAGCGGTTCGGCACTAGTGTTTTTGGACGAAAACGCTGAAATGAGAATGCTACTAATAGTAGAGTTAGTCAAATTCGTTAACTGAATCCGCTATTGACAAGCCGCTAATATAATCCGCGATCCGACAACCGCTAACTGTTGAATGCCAAACATGCTCATTGTTTTGTATATGCCTTACAATCGGATCTGTTAAAAGCTGTTTAAAGGTTGTCTTGCGTATTTTATTGATATAATAAAAGCCATTTATCATTAAAAAACTATTTACTTTTGCTATAATTTATATTTGATATTTATATTTTATTATTATGACCAAATATATACTTATGGATAATTAATTAATGTAATAACTATAGAGACTAATTATTAACAGGCTACTTATTTATATGGAATACAATTCTCCTCGCACCCGTGCCCCGTGCATCGCACGGGTACTATACTAGTAATAATAATATAATATAACAATGGTAATAATATAAATATTATGATATAATAATAATGTTATTATTATATTATTATTATATTATTATTGTTATAATAATAATAATATAACTTATTATTATAATATTATTATTGTTATAATTATAATTATAATGATGATTATAATTATAATCATTATTATTATTAATATTATTGTTTTTGTTGTTATTGTTGTAATTATTATTACTCCGGAGTAATTATATTTCTATTTTTAATTATAGATATAATTATAATTATAGAAATAAATGTTATAATTATAATTAAAATAATATTAATTATATAAGTAATTATAATTAAAAAAATATTTACATTTATAATTGTATCTATATTTATAATTAGTGTAATTGGTATAATTATTATAATTTTAAATTTAATTTTAATTATTATTATATTTTTATAATTATGATTATAATTTTATCTAAGTTATATTTGTAATTACAACAACAATAATAATAATAATAATAATAATAATAATATTTACAATTATAGAAATATTCAAATCAAATAAAAAAGATTCAGATCAAACCAGATCAGATCAGAAGAATTCAGATCAGATCAGATCAGAAAGATTCAGATTAGATCAGATCAGAATTTAAAAAATTCAGATCAGATCAGAATTTATAAATTCAGATAGCTTCCTACTCGCTCTTCCCAACTCCATACAGCTAAGCTGCACTTCTATTCTCAACTTTTAATCCACCATCCTCTTAATTTCTTCTTGTAATTATTGATTTAAGGGTGATTACTTCCAACCCCATACAGCTAAGATCTCTTCCATGGAAACGGCGAACACATTGTGAGCACTGAGCAGTAGGGTCCGAAACTGTGCTTTGACCGGTTTATACGGCATTGGGCACATCCCGGTTTCCACATGCATCGAACCGGACGGTCCGGTTCGGTTTTTAAAACATAGCCTTCTTCCTGGGCTTCTCAGGATTCTTCTCCCCAGTTCCACCACTCCTCCTAGCTACAGGTATTTCACTTCTCTTCTCAGAATTTTATCTCCTTCAATATCTCTACCTTCCAATCATGTTCTGCTTTTGTTAATCGAGTGGACATGGTTTATTTTCGCCACTCCTCCTAGCTACAGGTATTTTCACCGATTGCCTATGTCCAAGCCAGTTAGCTAGACATTCGGACTATGATATACTCTAGTATAAAGGTCTGCTACTTTGTATGGGTAATTTTTTAAACGAGAATAGAATAATTCCATCTTACGAAGCATGGCATCAGTCTTTTATATACGGAGTAGTATTGTCTATATTCTTTTGTTAGCTCATATCTATATTGATAGATAGATAAATGAATTGAACTAGCACACATCCCATGCGTTGGAATCCATTGCTATCCATTTAATCCATTAAAATCTATTCAAATTCATTGAAATTCATATGATTCTAAGAAATAGAATTCCATAAGAATCTCATGGAATCTATAGAAATCTATTAACAAATCCCTTAAAATCAACAAATCTATGTTGGGGACACCCCTTAGTCACTAAAGAATCTGGATTGACTAACATGAATAGGTTATTAATTTTTGTTGTCAATGATTGTTAACTTCTAAATCCATAACTTGCTCAACCAAACACTCCTATGTCATTTGCTCCCTTGAAGGAACCCAAAAGCAGATCCAATAGCTAGCTGATGCGCCGATAGTTGAACCTCCCAGGGTCAGTCATGACAGATTCCAAGCACCCCCGCCTCGTCCTCCCCAACTTTTTATCTCTGGATCTCTGCAAGGTCATTTTCACTGCCACAAAATCAATTTCAGTGAAGAAAGGTAGACTCTGTTCATGTTTTTATCTACTGATTTTGTTTTTCCATTTGCAAATTGCAGGAATTGCAGTTTATTCATAAGAGCTGTTGCGCAGTTGGGTACAGAGCAAATGTCTTCTCAACAACCCTCTCTCATCTGATTGCTACTAACTGCGCTCATTTGATCATGCCCATTATTCCTATAAGAGGTTTCATTCTCACCGAAAGTATTAAAAAAGTCAATAATTGTGCACCAAATTTTGAAAAATGAAAGTCTATAATCAAAAGAAAAAATGACCTAAGAGCAAAAGAGAGCATTTTCCTTGTTTTTTTGCGAAAAAAAAAAGAGAGCATTTTCCAGTTATTAATATTGTTGTTTGGGTTGTTAGAGAGGCTGATGGATGAAGTGGAAGCGTATTTTGGGTGCAACCTTGAACTGTATGTTGAATTCACTGGACTCTTAAGGTTAGTGTTATTGTTGTAGTTCAAAAACCATACGAGTATTGTTTTTTTAGATTTTCAAAGTATTTATTACTTTTCCACAATATTCCCTTTTTCTTGAATTATTTTTTGTCCGAGTGAAATAATTTCAAGCCACCTTGATTAATGTTGAAGAGTATACTTACTTTTGTATAATGCAAGTGACAAAAGTATATTTACTTTTGTGCTAGACATGGATGTATGTGATTGGTAACAGAGTACAAAAGAGTTTATATTGGGGACCAGTCCATACACTAAAAAAAGAAATAATAATGCAATTGGAAACAAGAGTAATTATTACCATTACCATCAAGGCTACAGGCACTGTTACTCTTGCTATCACTATCATTGCCGCTGTCTCTGTCATTGCTGCTGCTATATTGTAGGATAACTGGATAAGGATCAGTTCGTAGGGTGTAATAAAATGTGATGTTAGATTATGAGTGTCTTAAATTGTTTAATTTTTTGTTCATTTTCTTGAGCGTCTGGTGGTGACTGATGAGTAAACGTGATGCCTCTAATGTAACACTCAGTTGGTGTAAAGGAGCTAGCATTGGTTGGCACAGTGACAACAACAAACCTTATCTTAAACAACGGGACTTTTCGGTGTGTTTGTTTTCCATCCATCTGATATGTTCTTCCCTTTTCTTTTTGGTTCCTATTGCATTTTATGTCCTGTCTATCTATTGCTTACTGATGAGTATTCATTTATGTTTTTGTGCTTTTGAAGGCAATTTGTTATTTGAATAGTTACGATGTGGACTTCAAAGGAGGGGTATTTCATTTTAAGGAAGGGGAGCCTGCTAACATCTTGCCTATGGCTGGTGTAAGTAATTTAATGCTCACTGAAAATTTATTTGAGTATTATATTATTTCTATACATGATTCTCCCTCTATTCAAAAATGAAAATTACATCTTTCCATTTTGAGATGTCCCAAATTTTAAGTAACATTTCCTTTTTTGGCAATCACTTTGGGTTAAAAACTTAAAATTTCTATTTGAACCTTTTTCGGTTTTAAATCTACAAATTTAGCTCTACCCTTTTCCTCCCATAGCTATACCCAGAAAATAATTATTAAGGTTAAGCTGTCATTCTATCAAACTTTCCTGATTTTGAGTCCAAAATGTTTGACAATTTCATTTTGGGACAAGGAAGTATAAGTTTCCCTTTTCTTACAAGGTTGCAACCTCCTTATGTACCGTAGTAAATGTGATTGAAATAAGTCCAGGTGTTCACAATTGAACAATTGAGCAATGATTGAATAAAGCGTTTCTTAGATTTGAATGTCAACACGATGATGTGAACGTTTTTCTTACCAGTAAATATTTTTTCTTGAACTCTACAATGAAACTTTCATTTGAGTCATGCATTTACCTCTTATTTTTTTCGTTAGTCATTGTTATCTTGTTACAGATTATTTATTAATGTAAGATTATAAGAGTGTATCAGGATGCCATTTTGTACACAGCCGATGACCGAAATATCCACTGTGTTGATGAGGTAACACTTATTTTGTGCCATGCCTCAGTAAATACGTTAAGTTGAGCTGATTACATTGGCCTTGTAATATATGGTGCACAATTATATGCACTCACAACATGATGGGTTCAACAACTTTTCTACTTGAGATAAATTTTCTTTATTTTAAAAGTAAACAAGTTTCAACTATGTTGAAGTATTTCTCACTTCAATGAAATATGAACTATTAAATTATTATATCAGATTTGAAAAGTCTAACAAACCTTGTTAGACTATCAGGTTGAATCCTAGGTTTTAACAAATAATTATCAAGCTTGTTTTTACTGATTCATGGCTTCACTTGAATCCACATAATCTTTGCTACTTTTGTGTTGGCTAATCAGATTTATTTACGACTTTGGAGGAAAAATTGGCCTTTTCAATGCCTAATACAGTCGCCTATATTTGGGTAGTCAGAATGGACCAATGGATAGGAACAATGGACAGTCTCTAACTTATTTTTTCGAGTTACAAAAACTTCACCTTTACAATTTTCTTCGTAAGTTGAGATATGAAAAATCACCTATTAGTTTTTATATAATTTTATCTTGTGTATCAGTATTGATGTAACATTTCCTTGTCAAGTGATAAAAATCAGTTTTTAATTTCAAACATTGCATATCAAGGCCGTCGTACCTCTGGACCCATTACTAGTCTAGGACTGGTTGACTGGTTCGTGATCCCAAATAAATATTTAGCCAATTCCGATCTGATTTTGGAACTAGATTTATGTGTACTTCTGATGAGTAGAAGACGGATAAAGAAGTCCATAGAAATCTTTGTTGAGGAGAACAAACAATTGCAGAGAACTAATGTACTAAAAATGAGCTAAAAGTCCATGACAATCCATAGTTTCAAAATTTCATAGGAATGAATGAAAGTTTGAATACACATAAACTTTGTTAGACTTTTAAAAATCTATAGTGAATACACCTAGACTTCTTTAGACTTTGTAAAGTATACATTGAGTACACGTACTAAACTTTTACAATCCATGGACTAAAAAATTCGCTACTAATTCCTTATACAATGCACTCTTTATTCTTTACAGAAATATTGATTTCTTGAGTTTAAAACTTTTTTTCTCCTCTCCCCCTTTAACTTCATTTTTCAAGTTACAAAAGCATTCTTGCCCCCAAACTATTTTGTACAAGCAGGTAATAGATGGAGAGCGCATAACACTCACTTTATGGTTTAGCCGTGATGCATCTCATGATGAAGATTCCAAACTCATCTCACTTCTCTCAGAAATTTCGGTGCACAATTTTAATGACAAATGTGATTCAATTTTACCAATTCCAGCGCCCATTAATATGCATTGGTTCCCTCCAGAAGAAGACATAGAGTACTCTTCATCGGGATTTGATATACGGTGTGGAAGGTTGCATGTTATGGGGTTTGAGCTTTACTCATCTCTGGGCGTAAGCTTATGCTCTCCATCCGAAAATTCCTCCAGAAGTTTGTTAAAATTACTCCAAGAACCTCTCCAGCTGGCACGAATGGACGAGTTGTCTTCTATCAAATTTGCAAATGTAACGCATGCCCTTCAGGTACCATTTGTTGCTTATATAAGGCCCTGTTTAGGTGGATGGCTATAGAGGACTTAGAGAAGTATTCAAAGTTGTTATAAGATTTATAACCACATTTGGGATTAGATTTGGATGATGTTGCCGTTGTATTATAACGGCATTACTTAAACTTTCAATTTGATAGAGTTGTCATTTGTGTGTGGCCGGAGTTCTAGTGGCAATGTTGTTTAACATGCTTTTGTTTCACCACAATGCTCTTTCATGATAAAATATTCCAATTTTCTTAATGGCATTAAAGGTTCATTTTATTAAAAAATTGCCACACTTATAAAGCCATTAAATCTCAAACCGAATGTACATATAATATGTACTCCCCACGTCCTATTCAACCCTTGAAGATTCACGTGGTTGGATTTTTTTTGTTCTCTAATTTTTATTAATGTATACTTTCTTTATATCAAATTTGGATTCATTTTTTGCACTTCAATAAAAAAAATATGTGTGTGCTGGAAAATGGGATTTTATTAATTAAAACAAATTGTTATTTTGTAGGTGTTGCCTGTGGGGATTGACATGTTTGCATAAAATCAAAGCATAACATCTTGAGGAAAAAGACATTTTGGGATCTTAACATACCCTATCTAATGACACTTACAAGTTCTTCAATTAAAGTCTTTTTGTAGCTATAAGAAAATTATGTTGCTTGACATGAACATATATATACATATATTTGTGTACATAGTTATGATTTTTACATTTATATGATTTCGTGACCATGGTTTTACTTCAGGTGGTGCTATTTTATTTTTGGAAGTTCTTGGATTTGAGGATTGAACAGAAAATGACACCTGCTAAGGTGACCCTGATATATGAAATGCAAAGAGCACACATAAATGATTTGAAACACATTTATGTGAGGGATGCCCAAGTGGCAAAGACACTGTTTGGGCTCCAATCAGCTCTCAAGGACATCCAAAATGAATTTGATTGGGCTAGCTTTTCTTCTGCAGTTTCTGAATGGGAAGACTATACTTGCAAGTTGCACAACGAACTTCTTTTGAGCTTATCGCAGTGGAGGTCTCATCAATTTATTTTCTGTTCTCCACATGCAAAACTTGAACAACAATGAATTGTATATACATGTTTGGTCCTTAGCATGTCAACACACTTCTATTCAAGTTTTGCATGTGAAGAACAGAAAATAAATTGATGAGACCTCTGTTGTGATAAGCTCAAAAGAAATTCGTTGTGCAAACCTGCAAGTATAGTCTTCCCATTCAGTATCCGCAGAAGAAAAGCTAGCCCAATCATTTTGGATGTCCTTCTGCAGTTACTGAATGGGAAGGTTATACTTGCAGGTTGCACAACGAACTTCTTTTGAGCTTATCACAGTGAAGGTCTCACCAATTTATTTTTTGTTATCCACATGCAAAAGTCGAATAACATTGTATTGTCATGCTAAGGACCAAACATGTATATACAATCCGTTGCATTTCAAGTTTTGCAGTGCAGAACAAAAAACAAATTGATGAGACCTCCACTGTGATAAGCTCAAAAGAAGTTCGTTGTGCAACATGTAAGTATAATCTTCCCATTTAGAAACTGCAGAAGAGAAACTAACCCAATCACCTCTCAAGGACATCCAAAATGAATTTGATTGGGCTAACTTCTCTTCTACGGTTTCCGTTTCTGAATGGAAAGATTATACTTGGAGATTGCACAACGAACTTCTTTTGAGGCCTTATCAATTTATTTTTTGTTCTCCATATGCAAAACTTGAATAGCATTGAGTTGTATAATCATGTTTGGTCCTTGGGATGACAATACAATTTTATGTACAATGTTGGGTGAGATTGTCTTAATTAGAAGTAATATGTTTTCGTATTCCATAAATAGAACCATATATTCAAGTATTTCTTTTTAGGAGTGAATAGCTATGAACATATCCATCTCCTTAATTTAAGGAAAAATTGTCAAATTAGTCCACATACTATTTTGAAAAAGTCAATTGAGTCCATGTAGTATTTATCAATCAATTAAGTATACAAAGCCTTCAATTTTGCCATTAAATATTTCTTTTTGTACTGCTTTTTTCTTTTCGTTTCCTCTTCTTTTCTCTTTTCTATTTCTTTCTTCCTTTTTTCTCTTGCTCGTACTATTCATTTGTCCCTCTTTTCTTTTTCCCCTTCTTCTCCCTGCAACTCCTCCCATCTTCTTCATCCCTATTGCATCTACATAATGGCCTCACTCACCTAGTCACCTTCATTCTTTCGAGTAGTTCAACCCCTTCTTCTTCCCTTTTTATTATTTTCTCATCCTTTCTTTTCTTCTCCACTCTATTTCTTCTACCCCACCCAACCTTCTATCCCCCTTCTTTCATGCCCAGAGAAGGTGACTATGGCAACATGATGACAACAGCCCTTGCTCTTCTTCAATGGCAACATGTGGCGACAGAGAAGGCAACATCAACGGCAGTGATTGATGGTGATGGCGGCTACAGAGATCGTCGACGATAGAAACACAGAAAGGTAGAAAGATAGAAAAAAAGCTAGAGGGGGAAGAAGGAAGAAAAAAGAGAATGAGAACAAAGAAAGAAAAAAGAAGAGAAATAGGAAAAAGGGGAAAAAACTTGCAGGGAATCGGAGAATGAAGAAGACAAATTTTTTAAAAAAGGAAAAAGATTATCTAATGCCATACAGACGGCCAAATCATCACTTAGAGGGAAAAAAGGCACGTGGATGATACACGCAGGTTGTATAATAGGGAAACCGATCAATTATCACCAAAAGGGAAATTTGGTCGTCTTTAGACATTTTGTAGACTTAATTGATTACATAAATAGTACATGTCTACATGAACTCAATTAATTTTTTCTAAATAATAGGTGGATTGATTTGAAGGTTTTCCTTTCTTAAAACGAGGCAACTTTATGAAGGTCAGAAAGTTGATTCAACCATCAACGTAAGATCGGAAAAATATTTGAGATTGCGTCTCATGAAGAATGACACCGATAATTTAATTTTGTTGTTGATTAGACTAATGGTTGGAAGATTTTGCGGTTAAAACAATTTGTTTGATTGAGAAAACTAGGTTACCTAATTGCAACTTAAATGACAATGATTTGTATACATCTTATTTTAAATTAAAATCTTATAATGATCAATGAGAGTTAGGGCATTTTAGAGATAAGAAAAAGGTTGGTGTAATCATTTAGCTTAATGAGATGGTACTATACGTTTTACCATCTGTACTCTATTAAAGAAATCTAATTTTCCATTTTATTTCCGTCCAATTGCCCTCTCCATTACACGTGCCTTTGTTATCGTCACAGCGTCAGTAAGTACACCTTCCGTTTCCTTCGTCCCAGCTGCCCACAAACTTGCGGTCACATAGCCAGTGGCGGAACTAGGGGGTGCGAGCCGGTGCTGCCACCCCCGAAGGTTTTAGTGTGTATATATGTACATGAATATGTCCAGCCCCGTCTTAACAGTAGTTATAAATATTAACAGGCCCGTATCTCATCAAACAATTCGAGTAGCACTGATGGTTGGAGTGCTTCTATCAACTGCAGGAAATGCAGGTTCGAATCCTGCTGTCTTTCATTTTTGGTGCTAATTTTTGTGATGTTATACTACTGATACTCCGTATTAGTTTTATTAATATTTTTCCTACCACTTGAATTACTTTTATGTTAAATTTTTATTTTTTCAATTCAAACCATTTAGTTTTTACTTTTTTCGAATATTGACATGTTATATTTACGTTTTCTTTTGAATACATTAATGGTAAAAATGACTTTTAACTATTTCTTCCCTTTTCAAACATTGACCTATATTTTGTCAAAAAAAACATTGACCTATATCATTTTATATGGACTCTATCAAGAAAGTTTTCAAAACGAATCAAATTTTAACATAATTATTTATTATTTATTTATTCATTGGTTCAGTACAAATATGCCAAATTTCTTGTTGATATTTGGAATATTTGACTTTATATGAGTATAATTAGATTTATGTAATTACATTTGCATAAATAAAAAAAATCCTTTAATAAATAAATAATGTAGTAATGTTGATTTGAAAATAGAAAAATATAATAAAAATTACTATTTTCTTAATAAGTTAGTAACTTACATATGTATTATTAATTTATCTTCCTCTAAATGTTTAGCTATAGTTCTATTTAACCCTTCTTATTCTAAAATAAAAGGACAAATGTATTAAATCGAAATAAACTCGTTTGATAAACGAAGTCTATTATTTTGTTTAGGCACTAACAAAATAAGTATAAAAATGAATAAATGTCTATATTTAAGTTGATATGTATGTGTCTGCTTGTGTGTTAATTATATATAGGTCCATATGAAGTTCGCGCAAATGGGAATAACTCTTTCTGCATTGGATTTGAGATCAAATTACTGTAAATATACCCACCCAAAAAACGGTACAAATTATAGGATCTGTCCAACCAACGGTTCGACTTGTTTTTTTGCCCCCCTTCAAATTTTGTTCTGGTTCCGCCACTGCACATAGCTAACCCCATCTGAAACTCCGCCCTTCCGTTTGTTTTTATTGGTAGGTTGCTAGCACTAGACTACTAGAGATTTGGTGGCTACACTAAAAGTGTTTGATGAAATGCCAGAAAGGGTTTGAGGAAGCAGTCCAACTCAGTTGGTCGCCGACTCACTCTCCCTTATTGGAAGTCTCGGGTTCGAAACTCCATGAAGTGAGTTTCAGCCCAAATTACTCCAGGCCCCCCAAGACTCCCTTCCACTGACGCAGCCTGGAGTAAAAAAGGAAATTGTTAAAAAAAAATGCCAGAAAGGGATTTGGTGTCGCGGAAACCATTATCAGGGTATTCTCTATCAATACTTGCTTCTACGACGCACTTAGAGTGTTCAAGGAAATGTTATCTTTGTCAGAGGTTAAGCCAAACACAGTTACTGTGGTAAGCATGTTGCCTGTTTGTTGAGCGCTCAAGTATGGCAATATGTGTGGATAGATTCATTGTTATATCTTCAAAGTTGGTTAAGATACTCAACTTAGCATTGGGAATGCATTGATGCTTATTGTAAGCGCAGAGAGGTGGAAGCCTCGAATAAGACCTTTGATTAGATGATCGAAAGGAACAATGTCTCATGGGATGCGATTATTGTTATTTTTTGGCTGTAATGGCTGTTATAAACAAGCCATTATTAGTTTAAGGTTGATGATTAATGATCACATGGATTTAAACTCCACTACAATCTCAAGCATTCTGCCAATCTTGACCGAACTAGGCTATTTTTGCAAGGGAAGGGAAGATCACGGTTTCTAAATCCGGATGTTAACGGAAGCATGCATCCAATGTATTTTATAATAATAACTACTATACTACCCGTGCGATGCATGGAGTAAAGTTATTTAAATTGTTATGTTATATCTTCTCATAACATTTATACCTTCTCGTTTAAAAGTATGTGAGATTAAGAATAGTGAAGGGAAATACTCCTATAAATTATTGAGAGTATGATGTGAAGATAATAGAATAGTGTACTGGAATGAAGGATAATTCGAATAATATAGTTGTAATAGTGTATTATTTTCAAAATTATTGGGCGTATGATTGGATGATTTAGAAATGAGAAGATATAACTGTCACAGCCAAAAAAGGAAAATGAAAAATATGAATGTTACGGAGGAAGCATAAAAGTAGCTAATAATAATAATAATAATAATAATAATAATAATAATAATAATAATAATAATAATAATAATAATAATAATAATAATAATAATAATAATAATAATAATAATAATAATAATAATAATAATAATATTTCAAGACATTTATAAAATATTATAAAACTCAATTCTGTCTAAACCAAACATATTATACTATTGGTGATCCTTATTTAGGAAGGAAACAATGTTGATCATATTTTACACTTTACTAATGTTTAAGTCATATATTTAAGGAATTAACTCTATTATTATCACCTCCTAAACCCCCCTCCAATGATGTAATCATTCTGAATTATTTCATTTTCAATAGCTAAATTATTGTTCTTCTATGTGATATCATCTTGAGAAGGACATTCAGAATTTGACTTCTTTACACAAACAAACTTTTCCATTGAACTTTTTTTTTACTTATCGCCGCTTTCTCTAATCTTCTATTCTTTTGTATTTATCGTATTCAGATTCAATCTATTTTATTACTCTTTTAAATTTAATTAAGTTTATAAATTATTGAAAATGTTTGTCTAACAAAATCAACAAATTATAACACCAACACTCAATAGAAAATAATTGTTGAGTTTAATCCAACACGATATAGTAAATATATGTATAAATGTGTATGAACAAACTATTTTTATGTGGAAACCCGAAAGGGAGAAAACCACGGGAATTTTTAAGCTAATGTCCAAGCCCTCTCATTCTCATTAGGACTCTCCTCACCATTACAATGTACAAGCTCCCATTCATGGAGTATTGGCCTAGCTAGAGAGAAATAAGGAAGAGAAAGCCAAAAAGGATCCTTTTACATGGAGGGAAACCTCCTATTTATAGATAAAGGGGTTGGGGGGCTCTCCACCCTAACGGGCCGAATGGGCCGAACTGGGCCCAAAGGCCGAAACAGGCCTGATAGGCTAAAATGGGCCTCACTGATTGGGCTCCGTACTACGTAAGTCTTGGGCTCCTGAACAGTAATAGGCCGGGATAATATATCGCAACACACGTCGCCCAGTTTCTTGAGTAGTGAGCGTGCGAATCTGCTCGAGAAAATATACTCTTGCCTGCGCTCTTCCTCGGTCTTGCTGGAAACTGTGTCTTCGAATAATCATAATATACGAGTGGGTGTCTGCCCCTCTGAATATAACCTGCCGGTAAGGCGCTCCCCTCCCAACGGGGTCGGGCAATGGATGCTCTTCCCCGGACAATCTCCCCCTGAATGTATCAAGTGGGAGTAGAGGACTCTGAGTCGAGCTTTCCAATAATGAAGCTTAGAGGTCCCTGCACAATATAAGCTGACGACGCGGAACTGGCTCGACATGATGTATGTATGGATGGATGTATAAAAGATGATGCATGAATGTATGAATGCATGTAATGTATGTGTACAATGTATGAGAGAGGGTATGCAAGATGTAATACAAGGCGGTGAATGTCATCGGTAAACTGGGCACGACGGCGCTAGGGGCCGAGCGTGCTGCATAAGACGTTCGTTGCCACGGTATGGTCTTACTTTGCCATGGTGTGGTCTTACGTAGAACGAGAACCGGGCACGATGACGCTAAGGGGCCGATCGTGCTACATAAGACGGTCGTCGCCGTCCTGGAGGGAATGAGCGAAGCCGAAGATGAGCTAGACACGATGGCACTGAGGGGCCGATCGTGCTGCATAAGAATGTCGTCGCCATCCTGGAGGGAATGAGCGAAGCCGAAGATGAGCGAGACACGATGGCACTGAGGGCCGATCGTGCTGCATATGACGGCTCTCATCCGCGAGGAGCGGGGATGAGGCCGGTCTTCAAATATGATAATGGCACCATACCAGGGGGTCGGTGGCCATGTAAAGATGTCGCCACTGGGGGGCCGATCTGAAAGAAACAAGCAGCGGTCCTCATCCGCAAGGAGTGAGAACGAGGCCGGTCTTCAACATGATAATGGCACTGCACCAAAGGGTCGGTGGCGATGTAAAGATGTCAGCACTGGGGGGTCGATTAGAAAGAACCAAGCAACGGTCCTCCTCCGCGAGGGGCGGGGCGAGGCCGGTCTGCAGATATGGTAATGGCACTGTACCAGGGGGTCGGTGGCCATGTAAAGGGTGTCAGCCTGGGGGCCGATCAGAACGAACAAGTAACGGTCCTCATCCGCGAGGAGCGGGGATGAGGCCAGTCTTTAAATATGGTAATGGCTCCGTACCAGGGGGTTGGTAGCCATGTAAGAGTGTCGACCTGGGGGACGATCAGAAAGAACCAAGCAACGGCCCTCATCCGGGAGGCGCGGGGACGAGGCCGGTCTTCAAACATGGAAAGCACGCCGTGCCGAGAGGCCGATCGTGACATAATGGTGTCAGCAATGAGAGGCCGACCTGAGAGAATGGAGCAAATGGTCCTCATCCGCGAGGGGCGGGGACGAGGCCGGTCTTCGGATATGGAGATGGCACCGTACCAAGGGGTCGGTGGCCAAGTAAAGATGTCGGCATTGGGGGCCGATCAGAAAGAACCTAAGCAACGGTCCTCGTCCGCGAGGAGCAGGGCGAGGCCGGTCTTCAGATATGATAACGACATTGTACCAGGGGGTCGGTGCCATGTAAGGGTGTCGGCCTAAGCGCCGATCAGGAAGAAACCAAGCAACGGCCCTCGTCCGCGAGGAGCGGGGTGAGGCCGGTCTTCAGATATGGAAAGCACGCCGTGCCGAGAGGCCGGTCGTGATATCATAGTGTCGGCAATGAGAGGTCGACCTGATGTAAGGATGGTCTCACGACCCTTGCCGTGATGGTCTCCTCTAGGCCCTCAGTCTTTGGGGTGGAGATGCTCGTCTCGCGGCTCTCAGCTGCGATGGTCCCCTCTAGGCCCTCAGCCTCTGGGTGAAGATGCTCGTCTCGCGGCCCTCAGCTGTGATGGTCCTTCTCTTCTATCGGCTTGAACGTCTTCGGAACTCAAGCCGAGCGTCATTTAATCTTTTCACTTGAGCGTGTCGAGCGGCCTCGGCTGCATAATTAACATGGTAACGGGCCGCACGGCCCGACAGTATATACACATATAACCATATGCATGGCTTTCTTTCTTAACGCTCGTGATTACCGGCCTACGGGTTATGGTGACCCTCGGCCCGGCTCATCGTGTGGGGTTTATCGGATACGGCCGTCCGTGGCGGGTCACCTAGTGGCTAGCCGGACGTCG